GATGTAGCAGGATGTGTGAAGAACTCAGTTTACAAAGTACTCCTAATATCAACACTGAAAGAGGCACCACAAACTGTTCTCCAGCCTGTGATTTTGGTACTGGTTTCCAGTGAGCTTCACTGACAATTTTACATTGTGAAACTGGAGCTCTAGTCACAATACCCACTTGCTCAGTAGCAGGACATAATCAAATTCAAAGGGTGTGAATTTGAAGATTTTCACTGGATTAGTCAGGGATCAGAAGTTCAAAGCAAGAAACGAGTCTGGTTGAGCGATGGGTCTGAATCAGCAATAAACAGTAATTAGATATAGAAAAATTAATAAGAAGACATCAATTTATGCAGGTATTTATGCTGTGCATTTTGCAGGAAAATGAACAGGGGATTAGTTGAAAATTTCATTAGTTGAAACCACTCCATCTTCAGAGACAGAGCACCACCAGGAATAATACTGGTACCTATGATCCACAAAAGCACAGTGCTGCTTGTGTTTTTGTCAAATGTGCTGAGTGCTTTTCGGGAGAAACCAGGACTACAGCAGGACACTGGCTCATGGTTAGCACATACAGAAGCAAACAGACTCTCTCCTCGTGCTTTAGAGCTGGGTGGTTGGCTTGGATGTAGCACAGTGCTCAAAAACAGACCACTGGCCTCACAGAAGATAAATACCAAGTACCTTCAACTCTTCTTTATAGATTCTCCTGAATATGAACCAAAGTCTGGTTTAAATGCCATAAAATACACAGGAAAAAATATGGCTTAAATGGTAAGTTTAAATGGTGTGAAAGATTAACTACCTGCATTTATTAACTATTAATTAAAAGGTCACAAATCCCTAATCAATTCCAGTTGACCTTTCCTCCCAAAACTGGTCGTGCCAGAGATTTTAATTCTCCCACAAGTTGGAGCAAGAAACAGATCCAGACAAGCAAACTTTCCAATATGGATATCTCTCAACAAGCTGCATGTTTTTCATGATGGTGAGCACCCAAAAGCCTTTTAGTAACTACAATATGGACCACGTTGTCCTAGATCCCCCTTTTTTAAGAACACTTGAACACTGAGCTCAGCTGGCCAACAGGTTGGGAGACGAGGAGCATCCTCCCGTATGGGCCTGCAGGATCCAGCTGGGAAGCTGCCATGTGTGAAAAATGCATGTATTTTATGATTGGCTTTTTGCAAATATTAAAATGAATATTATACGTGTTGTGTTAGAAAGTAATGCTGTATTAATTCTCTTAAGTAGTGTGTTAAATATAGTTTTAGGTTATAAAAAATGTTAAAATAGAAACTATGCTATGTAGGATACTTTTTTTTAAAGAAAGGACTTGCAGCAAGATAGCCACAGAACACCTAAATCTTTCAGAGAAAAAGAATTTATTGCCCTCTTATCAGAAGAAATGAACTTCTTCCCGCCTCAAAGGCACTGTTAGGATTCAGAGGAAGAAGTTGACCATGACCAGACACAATCCTGTGCTTGAATGGAATTTATGCATCATGTATGAAGTGTATGAATATGCAACAGGTTATTGCTTTTAAGGGTTAATCCTCTGTTAACGGGTGTCCTTTTTCGGGCTTGTGCTGTCCAGAAAAAGGTACCCGGACGTCCGTAACTCTTTGTCTCTATTGTCTCATATTGTCCTAATTCAATTTGTCCAAATTATTATTACTCTAACTGTATTACTGTTTTTATAACCATTTTATTACTATTAAACTTTTAAAGTTTTAAAAACAAGTGATTGGCGTTTTTCACACTGTGCAAAGTCTGTACGGTGCGGCAGAGCGGCCCGCTTCGGTCACAGGCCCTACCTACCGCAGACAGGCGGAGATGGCGCTCAATCAATCACACCGCAAGGGCGGCGGGGCCCGCCGAGGCCGAAAGAACGCCTGCGGTTACCGCGTTCGGCAGCATCCCTCCCACAGCGGCATCCGGGGCGGGCATGGCGCCGGAACGAGCCGTGCCGAGCTCACCGGAGGGCCGCGTGTGGGCACCGGAGCGCCCTCGCCGCCCCCGCCCCGCTGTCACCTGTAGCCGAGCGGCAGCGCCCCGCCGCCCGCGCTCCGCAGGCACCGCAGCACCGCCTCCAGCGCCGCTGCCTCCTGCCCGTCCGGCCCCGCCAGCGCCCGGCGAGCGAAGTCCCGAGCCGCCCATAGCCAGTGCTGCTCCTGCGGGGGAAAAGGAGGGAAACGGGATCTCAGCGCCGGGCGAGCGGCGGGGAGGGCGCGGAGGCGTCCGGGCCCCTCACTCACCGCCGCGCTGGGCGCCGCCATGACGGCCCGTGCGGGCCGCACCGTTGCCGTGGCGACGCGGCGGCGGGAAGAGCCGCGCGCGCGCCGGGCTCCGCCCCCTCCCCGCCCTCCGTCCAATCACCGCCGCCGCTCCCCGGCTGTTCCCGCCCCTTCCGCGCGGGATGGCGAGGAACGGGAGCGGGAGCGTGTGGGGTGGGACGGGCCTGAGCTCGGCTCGGCCATCGGCGCTGCAAGTGGGCAGGGGAGGGAGAATAAAACGAAAGGTTCACAGGTGGAGACAGGGACCGGGGGAGGTCACAAATTGATTGCCGTCACCCGCAGAGCAGGCTGAACTTGGGGATAATAACTGAATTTACTACGAAGAAAATCAGAGCAGGATAATGAGAAATAAAATAAATCTTAAAAACACCTTGTCCCTCCCGCCCCTCCCACCTCGCAGCGGCGCAGGGAGAGAGGGAATGGACGTTACGGTCAGTTCGTCACGCCTTGTTCCTGCCGCTGCTCAGGGAGACAGAGGGATCCTTCCCCTGCTCCTCAGCAGGTCCCTCCCACGGACTTCGCCAAAGTGAACCTTTACCATGGGCAACAGAGCTGCTCCGACATGACCCACGCTTCCACGGGGTGCACTCCTTCAGGAGCAGCCTGCTCCAGCGTGAGTCCCCCACAGGATCACAAGTCCCACCAGGGAACCTGCTCCAGTGTGGGCTCCTCTTTCCAGGGGGCTGCAGGTCCCTGGCAGGAGCCTGCTCCAGCACAGGCTTCCCATGGAGTCAAAGCCTTCTTTCAGGCATCCACTATTCCAGCATGGGGGTCCTCCATGGGTTACAAGTGGATCTCTGCATCCTCATGGACCTCCATGGGCTACAGGAGGATAACCTGCCACACCACAGTCTTCATCATAACTGCAGGGGAATCTCATCTCTGGTGCCTGGAGCACCTTCACCCCCTCCGTCTCCACTGACCTTGGTGTCTGTGAGGTTGTTCCTCTCGCATGTTCTCACTCTGCTCTTCTCCAGCCACAATTACATCTGCACAATAACTTTTTCTTCCTTCTTAAATAGGTTATCACAGAGGCATTGCCACCGTTTCTCATGGGCTTGGCCTTGACCGGCGGTGCATCCACCTCGGAGCCAGCTGGCAGTGGCTCTGCCAGACACAGGAGAAGTTCCTGGCAGCTCCTCACAGAAGCCACGCCTGTCGTCCCCCCGCTACCGAAACCAGGTTGTGCAAGCCCAACACAGCTCTGCAGGCTGGGCGTGAAGCAGCTGGGCTGTCAGACGAGCTGCAAGCCACTGGTTGTGTGACAGGAGGGTGGGCTCAGTCCCTCTGGGCCTTAGCTCCTAGCCACGGGACCTCAGGAAGCGCTGGAGACCTAGGAGGCTGCAGGGAGGGGACGGGGATGGAGGGAGGCCTGGAGTTCTGGTGAAAGCTGGGAAGTGGATGTGCAGTGATGCATTTGACATTGGTGTAAATGTCAAACGTGCAGTGAGACGTCCCTCCCTGAACTTGGGAGGAGTCAAATGTGAAGGTTCACAGGGATTTTTCTGACATTTATGTAGTTCTAGAGAAGTGAGGCTGGTTTTTGCCTTTTTTATTTTTTGAAGGCTGAAGCTCCAGGAAGATTGAAGGATGTGCCTCATCCACTCACACGCCAGCACGTGCTAAACCTGAAACAGCCCATTAAAAACATTATTTCCTCCTTCACAGAATGCGTGCCAGAATTTTCCCTTTAGGGACTAATTTTGTATTGTCCTCATTTGAGGCTAGGAAAAGAACAGGAAAAAAATCTATTCCACCTCTATCCCTGGAGGTGGCTGCAATCTGATAACAGGTTATTCTGCTACTTCCTTCCCTCCTGAGACTTGCAGCTGGGAAGTCACAGCTGTTCCAAGCCAAAGTGTGGCAAAGTGCCCTCCTTGTTTTCTCCTGTGCACGTGCTGTCCTTGGCTTCCACACGGCAGATAAGCAACTCCATTGTAGGATCAGTCTGTGGAGGTGTTTGGATTTCTCCGCAGTAATTCAGGCAGTCCATGGAGTGAATTGTACCCATTTGGTACTGAAATGGGCAAATTCTTCCGAAACAATGTTTAGTAACTTGATCTAATGTCTTTTACTGGAGTATAGAGACAATTCCAGAAAGCAAAGGGAAGTCTTAATGGGCAACGAATGAAGGGGAGTTCTTTATCATTTAGCCACTTATTCCTAGCTGTATTTTTGTTTTTCAAACATGCTAAGAGTATATATTAAATGAAGCAGGGCTTACACAGAATGTCATGTTGGTTTTGCTTATATTTGCACTATCTGTACAGCCGGTTCATTGGAGCATGCAAGAGAATGTGTGTTTTAAATTAAAAACTACAGGATGGTCATATAACTCTAAAAATGCTGATCGTGGCTGCACAATGCCTTTCTTTACAATTAAGGCAGTTAAGATGCAAAAAGTCTTTTTTTATAAGTACATGGTTAATTTTCACGTGGAAAGTACAGCTGAAGAGTGAAACACTCCTGCGTCAAGAACTTTAAGATTTCAGCAGACCTCCTCTGACTCCTTTCCCTTGTGTTTTCTACCAGCTTTAGCCACTCGATGCCCCATCCATTGCTTTTCTTCAGCTCGTTCATCGGGGTTTTTAAGGAATACTGCCGACGCCGGTCCTGGCCCGGCGGAGGGCGGGCGGGGCTCGCCGGGGCTCCGGGCCGCCTCCCGCTCGCCGCTCTCTTTCCTGCTGCCGCTGCCAGGAAGTTGGAGACGGGGTAGTCACCCTCCGCGCTGCTCCGGCCGCCGCTGGGTACGGCTGGGGCGGCTTTCTCTGCACGCAGGGGACCCTGCCTCGGGGATGTAGCGGCCCGCGGAGCCATGCGCGGCCCGGCGCTGCCGCGCTCCTCGCTGGGGACGGTAAGGCACGGCGGGGACTCCGCCGCTCCCGGCGGAGCGGAGCCGTGCGCCGGCGGGACACCGCCTCGCCCGGCGACACCTCCGGTCCCGGCGATCTGCAGCCCGCCGCGGGTCCGCTGAGCGGTGTCCGCCGTCGAGCTTTCGGGCCCGGGCTCTCTTCCACCCTCCCGGCCGCCGTCGGGCTCCCGATCGCTGCTGCTCTGCGCCCAGCCCGCTTTCTGCTCGCCCTCTCCGGGGCGCTGGGGCTCTCCTCTCGGCAGCCCCATGCCGGGGCGGGCGGCGGCGGGGGAGGGCTCGGCGAGTCTGCGGCAGGGCGAGGCGGGCGGTCGTCGTCGCAGGGGAGGCTGGTGCCGGCGCCGGAGCGGCAGGAGCGGCGGTAGCGGGACGGGCAGCCCAGCCGCGCCATCCGCCGGGTGCCCGCGGGGCTGCCGGGCAGCGGCACCGCCGGGCTCGCCGCTCCCCTCCCTCCGCTCCCCTGCGGGCACCGAGTTCTCTGGCGCCGTTCCCGGGATTTATCCCTGACTCAGGGAGAAGGCGTCTGGGCTTACAGGAACGGCGGCGGATTCCCCGAAGCCCGCGGCGCGGCCGTTAACGCGCGGGGCGGTCCGGGCGGCGGGGCTCGCCGGGACACCGAGCGTCCGGCCGGGATCGCAGCCGCTCCGCTCCCTCCGCCGCCGTGCGGGGACCGGCGATGAGCCGCCCCCGCTTTGCTGCGCAGCCGGGCGCACACAAATGCCACCCTGCGGGCGTCCAAACAAAGATTAGAGGGTTGTAGCTACGCCCCAAACCACGGGATTTGTATAAGAGCAAGTTCAGCTCTGCCGGTAGATCTTCTTTAGCCTTCCCGGGCTTCGTGGGGCAAGACTTTTAAGCTGCCTGTTGTGATTTTGCGGGCGAAAAAGTTGTAAAAGATATCGGAGAATTTTATGAATAGCCTGATTGCCAGACGTGAATGGCTATCGAGTATCAGCAGATGTGTGCTAAAGCTGGGACAGTGGAGTGGTGTCACTCAGCATCATGACATGGCTATAAATTCTGCTGTAGAGGTTGCAGCGTCAAACTGTTTATCCTTAAATACTTGAGCATCCTAGTAATGCACACCTGCACTTGGCTGCACTGGACTTGTAATGTTGGCTTAGTTGTTAATTTGTGGTCAGAAAGTTGCAATGTGGGCAAAGTTACCTTACAGAAGGGTTTGGATTTGGTCTTGGGGTTTTTTTTTAATGCTTGAAAGGTTTGGAAACCTGGTAGTAGACTTAAAGTTAGCAGTTGCAGGCCAACACACCTAAAACTGAGGAGAAGGAATACCTTGACTCTAGCTGTGCATCACTTAACCATCTTGGGACCTAGGTAGGACACATAAACTTATGTTGACTTATGGACAGATTTCAAAGCAGATAGCAAACCTGAAAAGTGTATTTCTGGCTTAAGAATAGAGGTGCACACGTTTTGGTGCAAATCGGTACTATATGTGATATTATTCATTCAGTTGGCAAAAAAAAGAGAAAGATCTATTGGATTCCTCAAATTCATTATATTATCTTCAGTTAAATAAGACACTGGAGGAAGTGTCCTTCAGTGGGATTTCTTTTTTACAGGTCTCATTCTCACTTTATTGCATGCCCATCCACTGTCATTTATGTTGCATATCATCCTGTTTGCCCTCATAGCCCTTCTTGGTCCCCTGATGCCTCCCTTCTACTCTTCTGATTCCTGTATGTTTCCTGTGATTCTTCAAAATTTCCTGTAGCCTGTTTCCATGCATTCACTCTTTCTGCCTGCCCTTAAATTAATTTTCAGATGCTCTGTGTTTTCCCCATGCACTTCTAGCTTTTATAGTGGACAAACTTGCATCTATCTTCACTGAGGCCAGGGTATTTTCTGTCTCATTAAAAGAAAAATAATAATGGTAGTTTTATTTATTAAAGAAAATTCTGTTTTATGAAGAAAAAAGACAAAATAGCCATAAGGGTACTTCTGACACTGATTTATTTTCAAAGTAAAGGGAGAAACTGCCATTTTGAAGTTAGAAGCTACATTATATACAAATTGAAAACCAGGCCACCAAGAGTGCATTGTAAGAAAGAGCTGTTGGGCCACCAGCCTGTTTCCAGTAGTGACCAGTCACAGGTGTCTGCCAAGGGTTCTGGAGCAGGGCAAGTGTACAGCAATGAAAAATAAGAATACTTTCCTGGCTTCCAGGGGCCTGGGACTGTAGGAATTTCCAAGTTGAAATGGCGTCTTCATATTTTGCATCCCTTACTGTGGCTTGTTTTTTTTTCCCCTTCTGCTATGGGTGTGGTGATCAATTTTGGAACCAGGACAGGTTTCTGGCAGAGCCAGCACTCTCTCATGGAGTCCCACACCTCAGCTACATGTTGGCTGTAAAAGTACCTCCCTGTATTTTGTTTTGAACCTCTCTGCTGCTTGTCTTATGTAATGCCTCTTAGTTCTTGTATTGGAGGAGACAGAGAACACTCATCCCAGTTCATCTTCTCTTTGGCATTCTGTCTTTGAGCCTGCTACAGTATCCTTGGCTCAGGTTTCTCTTTTATACACTGGTATATTTTATCATTCCCTTTGTGGCAGTCAGTCTGTACCAATGATGGTCCTTTTTACTTTCTTTTATATTATATCTGGGTTAATTTATATTCTTAAGATTGGGGACCAGAACTACAGTCAAGATTCAATCCTTTATATATTGTCATAACAACACTCTTGGTTTTGCTCTCACATCCTTTCCTAATAATTCATAGCATTTGATTGCATTTCTGATTGTTTTCTCCAATAAGATTAACTGAACTTTTACTGCTTATTAATCTAATTGGAATTTCTATTTTTAAGACTAACTACTTATAGCGAAATGAAATGTTTATATTAGGGTCTGTGCTAGGTACACTTACATGACAATTTTTGTTCTCACAGGTAACCAGTACCATCAGTCTGGATACCTTTCCCTTTTCATTAAGTAATCAATTTTCTGCATTAGCAGTATTATTTGTGGTAAAACGGGTGTTGTCACTTTGCTCTTTCTTACCCATTTTCTTTAGTCAAAGAGGCTTTGTTTGTATTTGGGGCAGATGCCTCGTGTTCTCTTCCATAATCCCTGGATAGCTGAGTGCTTCCTTTGCTGACACATATCCTTGTGTTATGTTCTTAGGAACCTGACAGTGGAAAGCACATCTCAAAGCAATGTCACTACATTTTCCTATTAAACCAAACAGGAATCTGCCTTTTCCAATGAGTAGGACTTGGCATTTGACAGTTACCTGACTTGGAAATTCACCTAGTGAGTCACTGACAAGGGGCACGAGCAGGTCTGTGGCACAGCGTGGGCAGGGGCCCAGGGCTCATGCCCAGCTGAAAATCATTTCAGGATGGAAAAGTAAGGATCCCCTGATCAGCCTTCCCCTGGCTCCTGCTCCATCAGTGCTCTGATGTGAGGTTGTGCAGCAGCACAGGGGAACTCAGCCCTGAACACAGGCAGGCCAAGTGCTGGGGTGTTGAGGGTCAGTGAATGTGGCACTCTGACACAGTGTCCACCACAGAGTCCTTGGAGGGAAAGCTTCCAAAGAAATTTTCTTATGGTTGTTATCACCTACTGACTTCTCCATTATTTTCTTAATCTTTACTAATATGAAATAAAGCCTTCTAACTTTATATACTTTATGATGTTTTATGGTATGAAGTCCACAGTCTTTATAGATAATCATAGTTTTCTTTTGATTTTTAAGTTAAGATTTCTAAGGCCTTTCTTCATTGTATCAAAGCTATTACTAGTCTCCTGAATTTAGACAAGGCCTCAAATACAGCATTCTTTCATCTGATCTTCATAAAATGAGGATTATTTATAATAGTAGTTCTTGTAGCCTTCTTTTGTCCTTTTCAGTTTTTAGAGAGCAATGACGAAAGCTTCCTGTAAATGTTGCTTTAATGCACATTTCTCAATGTGTAAAGCAGAAGTTCTGGTTTCCCTTTCATCTTTGTATAGCAAACTAAAACAAATGCTAACCTCAAAGAGCTTTTGGAAATGGCTGAACCAGACAAAGAACATAAGAGTAAATCCTGTACTCTGATTTCTTTGGTACCTCATTAGTCTGAGCAAGTACTGTTTTTTGCCCAAGCCTCCAAGCTGACTAATTTTTATGACTCATTAAAAAGGCTGACAGATGATTTATGATGATGATTAAAGATGATTTATGTGTAGAATACTTGTGCATGGGGTATGTATCATGCTGGATTCTTAAGCCAAGGTAACTTGCTGTAACAAAATATTTTGAGACACTCTAATGACTCATAATGCCTCTAATTTGCAGGTAATTGATAATTAATTAGTTTAAAAATGGAATTTGCAAACTGGAAGCCTTTTTTGGGAGAAGTGGTTGATTAAGATATTACAATGGAATTTTCGTGCAACTTGGTCCATGAAGATTAAGGATGACAAAATATATGAATAAAATACTGGTTTCATTGATGATGATAATGCTGAGACTAAAAGACTTAATTCATAATTATTTACAACACAGTACAGATAGTTATAACTAGTAGTATGTTGTACTGTTTTCTCAAGAAATATTGAAGCAACAGTATTAAAGATGGCAAAATGATCTGTGTGTCACTGTATACCTGCTCCCTCCAACCTTGTGCAAATTCTAGTGGTGGCAGTAATCTAAGAATATTTGAGTGTGAAAATTGTGGAAAAACTCCTAACTCTTGTCTCAGCTGTCAAAACGTTGCACAGAAGAGCTTTAGGGCTTGTGCTGTGTCTGTTTTCATTGTAGATGAAGTGCTGGGCAGTAAGTGCTGGCGTGAGGGCATGGGAAGGAACTAGGGTTGCCTTATGTGTGAGGAAATGTGCAGCTGTCATCCAGAGGGGTGGAATGTTTTAAGGAAGCAGCGTTCTGCCATATTTTGGTTATTCCTGCAGCAGTTTCATAAGTAAACCCCAGAGTTTCTGCTGACTCTGTTTTCCCTGGGTAGTCCCTGCTGACTGAAATGGCTGAGTAGGTATGAATCAGTGGTGTGCATCACACGTGGCTTGAATTACCACTTGGCTTAGGTAATACACATTATCTCTGGGAAGTTGCTTAGTGGCTACTGTTTTTTTTGATCCTGGCAAGTGGAGTGTGCTGTAGATCTAACAATGGATATTCAACTTATTTCACTTGCAGAAGACCTCTAAACTTTGCCTAGGCAAACTCTTATCAATGACTTGAGGCTTCAGAGCTAAATCTGGCTGGCAACTGATCGCCAGCAGTGTTTCTCAGGGCTCAATTCTAGTTCTGTTCAATATATTTATTCTACATAAATTGGAGCATTGAGCAATGATTATTGGAATGAACTTGAGCAAGTCCAAATGCTGGATCCTGAATACGGGGACAGAGTTAGTTCTGGGCACAAGTACAACCTGTGACAGGAGTGTCTGCAGAGCGCCCTGCAGGGAGGGCCCTGGGGGTGCTGGGGGCAGCAGCAGCTCAGTGAGAGCCAGCAGGGCATAGCCCAGAGGGCAGGAACCGTGTCCTGGGGGCATCAAACACAGAGCACAGGCGGGCAGAGGGGGGATCATCCATCACCCGCTGTGCTCAGCGCTGCTGCGGCCTCACCCGGAGGGCTGGGAGCAGTTGAGAGCCTCACAATTTAAGGATTTGAAGGTCCTTGAATGTGTCCAGAGGAGGGGAACTGCAAAAGAATTTTTTAAAATTAGGTTCTTTTCTCCATCAGACAGATTTGTTGGTACAAATCAGCTGTGTTACATGGTAGCTTAAACCAGGTGCCTCAAAAGAGGGATCCCCAACAAAGAAATTCCTGGGCAATATCATCCTTATGATCTAAACTCCCTATCTCTCAAGCAAGAATCTGGATAAAAAAGCAGTACTATATGGGGTCTTCTTACTCTTCATTGGGTCACTCTTTCACTACCAAGTGGTTGCTGTGTGGTCACGTTCATATCCTCTTAGGTTGGTTTTGCTGAGGATTTTGATCAGTTCTGTAGTTCATCAGCTCTGTAATATGGTTGTTACAGTTCTTATACCACAGGTTGTGTGCCTTCCAACTGAAACAGAACTGACTGTGCTAATTTCATGTATTATCTGAATTTGATGAAGTTGTTCATTGGTATAAATCAGTGTATTGCTGAATGGCTTGGGGAGCTGCTTATTAAGATGGTGGTGTTTTGGTGGTTTTCCATCATGTGAATGATTTTGCTGGATGGCCGAGTCATTGGGGTGTGAGTCACTCCTGGCCTATGATTTTCTGTTCCTCAAATTATGTTCAGTAACATGTTAACTCTGCTTTGATGACACTTACAGACCTGCTTTCACTTAATCTGAAAAATGAAAACCACTTCTGTTTTCTTTTGGCTTTGAAGGTGTATCTGACCAATTTTCTCTGTATTTTTGGCTCAATCTTTGATGATTTTATCTTCTTGCTATTGCTGATTTGTGTGACTTATGGAGTGACTGTTTATGTTCTTGTATCAGGGGATTAATCACTAGCTAGAGAATCAGAATGTTTTTATTGTTACTGTGTGTCAGACCATCTGTGTGAAGGATCTTCTATCCATTTTCCTGCAAGCAATAAATCTTGTAATGTCAGCTGCTGAAACAATTTTTAGTTCCTCTGAGGAGTTGTTGGAGAGCTTACAATTATGCTGTGGTCAACTAATGAAGTCGGAAATGATATCTATTTAAATATGTGGTTCTCTTTTTTCCTGTTCACCATTTTAGCATCTGGTCTATTGAATGTGTCAGAGCTCTCCAAAAAACAATGTTTTAGTTTTGTCAGAGTTGCAAATCCCATCCTTCTTGAGGTTTTAAGTTGCTTTTAAGTATGTACCTTTCTCCCCAAGGCTTTAATTCTGAAAGAGAAACAGAACAGTGTAGGGCTGTCAAAACGATTTTATTCTATGTATCTTTTGGTGAGCTTGCTACCACAAAATTGGTTTACTTTGCTTTTGCTCTAAGTGTCCTAGCTGAAAAAGCAAAAAAAAAAAACCAAAAAAACAAAAAAAAAAACCTCTGAAGCTGTGCTTGTAATGCTGGGCATCTTCAAATTTTCAAAAAAAAACTATTTCAAAAAAACAAGCTGGGAAAACATTACAATTGCAGGGGAGGTAGTATAGTAAAACTTTGTGTGAGATTATATTGGCAGGGCGATGTTCATTTGCAAAAATTATTAGTTGATTTTCATCATTCACTTGATCTGATGCATAGAGTTCATTGGTACGTCTGTACCATACTCAGAAGCATCAACACATGGATGTCCAGTGTGGCCAGGATCACTTGTGTGCAAAGAGGATGACAAGGGATGCAGGTTGTCAAGTTTTCATCAGACTGCTGGGCTTCTTCATGGTACTATAAAGTAGTTTTTGGACAAATCTTTCATACTCTTCAGGAGTCATTGGTTGGTATGGGATGGGTCTTTGCTGTAGAAACTTGCTGACTTCAGGTTTCATGAATCTTGGACCAAGTTTTGACCTGGTTTTGATTTGTTGGGATTTTTTAAACCTTTTTGTTGTTGTATGTTTTTTCTTTATCTGAATGTTTGAAATGCATGCTTGAGGTCTGTTTTTCTATTGGGCCAAGAAGCAGAGGGGTTGTGTTTGTGATACGCTGCAATCTCCTTACCATCCTTCTGGTACAGGATCTTTTGCTGATGAGTCATTTATGCTGTCCTCTTACCGTAGGGGAGGCCTTTTGGCCATTACATAAACAGTATATTTCTCAATTTCAGTGCTGGGAACTGTGTCCTGCCAACAGTGTCCAGGGAACAGCATCCTCATTATTGGTGCAGCTGTGCTTTTAACCCCTGGTTCATGTGTGTGTGGGTGTACAAAGTCACCCTCTCTTACAGTCATGTGGCAGTCATGCCAATCCTAATATTTCTGTTAAGATTGGCTTGATAACAGTAACTTTCAAGTGGAAAAATAGAAATCAAATCTTACCAGTGTTAAAAAAGAAGAAACTGCTCATTTTTGTGTCGAACTGTACGGGCTGATTGTTAACAGCTGCATTTTAAGAGAAAGAATGAACATTTGACACGGGGAAGAATCAAAATCCTAACTTTCCCATGTTTCTAGGTTTGGCTTGCTCAGGAGGCGTTTTGGAAGATTTCCTGTACTTAGTAGGCAGTGAGATCCTCTTTTGCCATGTTATTCCAAACTTCCCATCTTGTGTATTTATTCAGTGGAACTGCAAGTACTGGATGCATTCTTCTCTGTGGCACTGTTTCTACATGGACAACTTTACTGCCTTCCTTAATAAAAATATTTCTTTGCTCTTGTGTAACTTTCATGCAAGCTGCAGCATTTTCGAGGCATTCCATGTATAAAATGTACATAATGAAAAATATTGGTTTTATATACAACCAGTTTACCATAGAGGCCATTGAATGGTATATTAATATCACAGATGGCAGGCATTGGTTTGTTGGGGTTTATTTTTGTAAATCATCTCCCAACACATATTTGCCAGTGGAGTGTCCCGTTACCAGAATTAGCCAAGTAAACTGAACTCATGATATGATGTAATTCTAAGTGCTAAAATCAGAGGTGCAGCATGCAGGAGGATAGAACGTTTTCTCACCTTGTTTCTCTCCTCTCCCTCCCTCCCTCTCTATTTACAGGTTATTCTAATATTTGTCTGTGTGTTGACAAAGGAATCTGTAGAAATTACTCCAGTGCCATATAGAGTGCAAGTCCGTCGGGTAGCTTTGGATGGAAAAGACCCCCCTAACTCTTTGAGGAGAGAAAAGAAACAGACGCGCTGTCAACTGGGACAATACCTACACCCCAAAAGGACCCACTGCTGCATGAGGTGTCATGCAGGTACACTAAATAAATACAGTAGTAGTGACTTTCACCTGGGAGGCATTTCCCGGTCCTGCACTCTCAAACTGTCTCTTTCCTACAGCTAATCAGCTCTCCCTTCGCTTGCTACCTATCCCTACCCAGATAAATTCTTATTTCTTTTATTTATTCTTATTCCTTTTCTCCTTTTATGGGCTCTCAGTGTCATTCACACTGGTGAGGGGAGGCATACTTGGTCCTTATGGCATCAACTCCAGGGTTTCTTTGAGGAACCAGTGACTCCTGTCCTCCCTAAGACAATGCATTTGCCTTCCTGTCAGAGCTCTGCTAAGTGATTTTCTTGCAGGTACCTACAAGGCAAAAGACTGTGAAGGGCCTGACCAGGCAACTGTCTGTCTTCCATGTGCCAATGGCACATTCACAGCTGTTGATAACACCATGTCTAAATGCTTCCAGTGCAAACGCTGTCGTACAGGTGAGGCACTGCCAGATCTGCAGGATCTGAGGAAAATGGGGGTGGATGAGGGCTGGAGGGGATGGCAAGGTGAGCAAGGGAGCTTGGAAAAGTAAGCAGTTGAATGGGTAAGACAGTGTATGGGGATGGATTTGGGACAGCAGGAATAAGGTTTACCAAACTGGAACTGTCTGAGATATAGTTTGCAGGCCTTTCTGGCCTTTTTCTGTGAAAATTAGGGGATAACAGTATCTATGATCATGACAGTGCTCTCAGTTGAAGGTGAAGGAAGAGGCTGGAGTAATAATTTCTCTTTTCTTTCCTCAGCACTCCAGCAGATAGTAGAGACCCCCTGCACCCCAAAGCAAGATACTGTATGTGGGTGTCAGAAGAATCAGTATCTGATTGATTCTGAGTCTGAATACTTCCAGTGTAGGAACTGCAGCTCATGTGCCGATGGGATTATTGCCAGCTGTGAGTATGGCATGGTTATGGCTCCAGTGCAGATGTACTGTAGTAGAGTAGACTTTTTGATATGCGGCAGTGCCTTGCACTGAAAGGATTGTGGTTTGGGAACAACTCTGGGGTTTGTCTGCCCTCTTTCCCCAGAAAGACTGCTATTTTTTGCCTGCTCTGGCATCAATCACTGTTTCCTATCATAGCTGCTTTCTTTTGTCCTTGAACTGTTTCTTGGTTTTGGCTGTTGTGAGGAGCTACTTTCTACTTAATTTTGGTGCCTCTGCTTTGCCTGTCCTGAAGCAAGGTCTTTATGTTCTAGAACATAAAGTTCTTTCCTCTTGACTTCCTTGTTTGTTTTTCTCCTGATGCTCACTGCATTTCCCCTACCAACTGCTGGAAGCACTTTGAGTGCAATGGATGAAAATACCTCTGGCCTTGGTGCTCAGCTGAACTGCTTGTCTGAACTGAACTAATTGCTGAGCAACTACAGTCTTCTGTGCAGTGTTCTAAAGTAAAGAGCTGCTAGTAATACTGAACTATACCCAGTGGAATTGGGCATTACCTTGGGATGATGCCAGTGTCTGGGAGAAGTACTTGTGTTAGCTGTCCCAAAGTCAGGAATCAGAGATCTTAACAAACACTGCTGTCTGTAGTCTAATTCTTTCCATGTCACTTAAATGTCTTCTTTTGATGTGAGGACTGAGAAAGCACGAGTCACTATTGGATGCAACATGAACTGACTTTATTTCCTTGATTAGCTCTTTCATAAGGTTGCACAGGCAGATCTGACTGTGCAGCCAAACAAGACATCACACATCCGTGCCCATTCACACCCTGACTGGTCTTCCAAATCTGCACGTAGATATGTTCCTTAGGGGCTGTCTTCCAGCCCAAGGACACACATACCCTCTCAACATCTTATTCAGCTGCTCATGATCTGTACCAGATCTGTACCAAAGATACAATTATAATTAATTTAGTCATTGTTCTTTAATTATCCCACAGGCCCATGCTTCCAGTCCAGCTGCTCCCACATCCTACCTTGTCTTAAAGCTATCCTGTCTTCTTTGCAAACTGTGCTGCTCATGATCCCTTTCCCATCTCTTACCCTGCCCAGTGTGAGGTTTGCTGTTTCACTGGTGAATGTGTTCCCTCTAGTGTTCAATCATCTTGTCACACTTTCCTTGCTTAAGCTTCTCCTCGAGGGTCGTGATTGCGCACTGTCCTTGAGCAGCTTCCTTCCCTCTTGGCTGATGTAGAACTGGTTTATTCCCCTCCCTCACTCATAACAGAATGCATGCTCCTTGTTCTAGTACATTTTCCCCTCCTCTCATGCTTTTTGATGTCCTTCCTTCACTGTTCTTGCCTGCTCCTCCCCACACCTGTTTTATTCAGGCTCTCTCCTGTGCCTTGCTTAGAAGTGATAGTTCTTTCATTTCTTACCCCTTCCACTCATGACATCAGAAGAATGCTTATGTGTCCCATGACTTGTAATGATTTCTCCCTGCCCTGAACTGACTTCCTCACCAGTCCCAGCTGCTCAGGGACCACTTCTCCCTCATCTTGGCCTGACTAATGTGGTTTCCCCTTCCTGTCATGCTTGAACTTGGGTGACTTTTACTGCTTTTTGCACATTATACTAATTCCAGCTGCTCTGTAATTATAGTCCCTTTCCTAGCCTCTACAGAGGTGCCCACCTTCAGGACAGTGGCACTCTTAGTTTTATTACTTTTATTGTCCTCCAACTCTGTTTTTATATGTAGATCAAATCCTTTATCTCTTCTTCAGTAGCAGTTTTCCAGGCTTAAAAAAAGGATAATCCCTCATCCATTTTGGAGTGGATTTTTTTCCCTTTGTTTTCTTCTCTGTCCATATTATGGCAACAGTTTCTCTTTTTTTTTTTCCTCTACAGGTTCAAAGAACAAAGATGCAATTTGCAGGTGTAAGCCTCAATTCTTCCTGTCACGTAGTAATATTTGCAAGCCTTGCAACAGGTGAGCTTTTTTATTCTGTATGCCCCACCACTGAGTAGGAGGGACAGCAGGAGCGCCACGGGGGGAGGACATTCTTCTCATGACACTTTCTATCTAGGCATAACTTTACAGTATTCTAACTGCCTTTCTGAGGCAAGTAGGTCTTCACCCCCAGTCTCCTCCATGTGGGCATTAGCCCGCTAAGAGCCCAAAGTCACACTGCATTGCTCTGCTTTGCAGGCTCATCTTGACTTGTCTGTTAATTAGGGTGGTTGGAAATGGCTAGAGTTTCATGGCACATGTGCTCACCTCTCTGATTTGCCCTTTCAGCTGCACTGGAGAAGACTGCTTGCTGTGTCCTAGCCCAGTCACTACCTCACCGACCTCATCTGGGCTGAGTGAGTGCTCAGGGGACTGAAGGGCAGTGGAATCTTTTCATTGTGGGGTGTTGTTTTCTTAATGCTTTTTGTAAAGGGTTATATTTTCCACTTTGTCAAACCCTTATACTTTTTCTCCCTACCATTTGCAAATCTCCACTTGCTGTTCTTCCTCTAGCACTTACCTCCTCTTTTCTTAGTCACTCATGCATTTGCTCTCTTCCTTTTGTCCAGATGGAAACCTTGTACTTGGCACCCTTGTTGCAATATTTGGAGTTATCTTCGTCCTCTGCATTGCACGTAAAGTAGGGAAGCTGGTCCAGAAACGTGAGACAGGGCCTTTCTACTCCTGTGGTGAGTACAGTGGCATGTGCAGTGATATTGACTGGGATAGACACCAATTTCTGTGTGCTTTTGTGTGTGAGGGACAAAGTGGAATCTCCTGACTCTGCTCTGCTGCAAGGCCAGAGTAGCATAAGAACTAAATAGCAAGGCTGTTATTGCAGTTCTGCATCCAGGCCTGTAGCTATGACTGGATGTACACTTGAGCTTATTTCTGGGATGTTTATTTTGCTATAAAATATTTTTGAGGGCAGGATTGTGAGTAGCTGCTTTCCTGTTTTCTCTGGGACAAGAGGAAGTGAAAATAATTTCTACTTTCTTTTTTTTTTTCCTTTCTTTGAAGTTTTGCCACTGAGAACCAAGGAGCCAGTATCAGAGGTGAGCAAGATGATGGATATATATATATTTATATGTAGCTTACCTTCCACTTTCAAATAAGTTAGCCTGAGATCTGGAGTAATATTTTTCCCCATGGGCTATTTTCAGGCCTTGTATTTGCAAGCGAGCTGAGTAATAGGGCTGTTTAACTCAGAAGTCTTTTCCTGTAGAGGGTGGAGCCAGTAACACTTTACTTCCCCTCTTCTAGAGGATACTTTTCAAACTTCTGGCTTTTTTTTTTTTTTTCCTTTTTTTTTTTTTTTTTTTTTTTTTTTTTTTTTTTTTTTGGGTGCATTTTGTTCAGATAGTTGATCCTTAATCCCCTTTTCTCTCTGTGTACCCCAAGCTTGGAGGATTTAATTAATTTTATTTCACTTCAGATCTTGACTCCACAAGCCTCTCAGTGCTGCTTCACAGTATTGTCTGAGGTCCAAGGTAACTCTGCAAATAAGAGTGCCCAGGCAGCAGCTGAGGTGGGGTTTCCACAGCCTTACAGAGGAGGCTGATGGGAAAGATGGCATGTGGAGCTTCTAGAATGGTGGTGATTTTGGGTACCAGCCTTACTTGATTTTGTAAAGAAATACTTTTTCCTGGACTACTGTTTTATGGTGCCAAAAGAAAGTTAAACTCTTTGGGTTCTGCTGGAAAGAAATGTTTGGTGTCCTCTGCTGAAACAAGGCATGTAGGAAGGATTAAAATCTCAACACCCACTCCCCATCTATCTTGGATAAATTTTAGCATATAAAGCTTGTGGCTGCTTGCAGGAGACAGGTGTATTGTGCTGCTGTGGGTAATTCTGGACTATGTAATGTGTCTTTCAGGTTGAGGAAAAAAATGAAATTTCCACCTTTTGTCCTGAGTCCCAGAAGGAAACAGAATTGCCAATAATTGCAACCCAGCCATCTGACCCTCTGCCACAGAGTTCACATGAGTTTCCAGACTGTGTCAGACCTGCCAGGAAGACACAGCTTCCAGACAGTAAGTGAAACTCCTCCATCCTTCTCTCCTTCCCCAGTCAAATGGGAACCTAATTATGCAGATGCAGCTCGGAGTAATGCGGGAGAGACCTTACCCAGTGTATGTGACCTGGATGTGTACCCATGCACGGCACAGTAGAAAGGCAGAAGCACGCCCAGAGCCTGTGAGTCTGTATATGCCAAATATCTGTGCAAGGCCTTTCTGTTGTCCCTTTCCCTACCAGCAAAATGGACTGCCGTATGTATTGACATGCTGTCAATATGGGCAGTGACCCAGAATAATTTTAATAATTCATTCTTTTTCAAGAATGTATGGCAGAAAGGCCCTAAGAAAAAGTGCTTGACTCTGCTCCATAGCCTTATACAAGAGCATATGGAAACATTCCCATTACATTTTGAGGGACAAGAGCAAGTCTGGAGTCTATGTGATTACTCTGGAGAACTGGAGAAGGCTTGAACAAGAGGAGGCAATGCAAGATACCATGGCAACCTCCAGCCCTGGGTTATTCCCATTCTCCTTGAGGTGACAGAATCCTGCTTCTCAGGGTTTCCCTCTGTGTCCACAGCCCCTGCTGTTCTGTACACGGTGGTGGACCACGTGCCGCCGTCGCGGTGGAAGGAGTTTGTGCGGCGCCTGGGGCTGAGCGACTGCGACCTGGAGCGGATTGAGCTGGAGCACCGGCGCCTGCGAGACGCCCAGTACGAAATGCTCCGGCTCTGGAGACTGCGCATGGGTCGTGCCGCCACCGTGGAGCACATCAGCTGCGTTCTCAACCAGATGGAGCTCAGTGGCTGCAGCGAAGCTGTTCAAGAAGCTTTGCTCAACCAGAACTCTCCTCAGCCTTGCAGCCTCCACAACCATCTCTAATCTATTTCTGCTTAGGCTGCCTTTGACCTTTAAGAGGGGATCATAGCTCTCTTTCTTTCCCCATATCTCCCCATCTTTGTAACTCTTGTCAGCTGGTTTTGTTGGAGACAGCAGCAGGTTATGCTGGAGGAGGGCTGAGGTTTGCTTCTTAACCACCACGTAGTTCAACCTTTAAGCCATGGCATACGTCTGCAACACCTCCTCTCCCAAGGAGGGGAGCACCTCATCAAGAAAGTGGTGTGTGGAGTCTGACCAAGGTGCAAATAGGAGCTCTGAGTTACTTGATCATGGATCAGCTTCTATGGACAAGTTGTTGCTGAAACAGGTGCTCCACACATTGTGTGGTGGGTAGACTTGTAGGGTGCTTTGGTTAAGCTGAGTACTCACTCACTTCTTGCAGATCTATTTTTCTGCGAGATCAACCAGTTGAAGTGGCTCATATTGCAGCCTTTTGATTGCTAAATCTGACTCAAGAGGAAGTGGTAGGAGGATGTGCCTATTTCTGGGAGCAGGAGAGGATTGCCCCCTCTCGGTGTCAACCAGTAGCAACTAGTTGGTATCGCTGTAGCAAAAGTCTCCTGGAGATTCAGAACTGGTTCTCTCTCTGTGAGAAACAGGAGGACATCATCCTTTCCACACCATGTCCCTCAGGTTCCAGAGGAGTAAGAATTCCAAGCCAGTGAGTCAGATGAGAGGGTTGGTGCTTTTTTCCTCAAGTTTTTTTTTTTTTTTTTTTTTTCTGTATCTAGAAATCATGTAAGTTAGCATTAACAAAACACCTGCCTGTGTGTTTGTCCAAGTGCAGGGTGGCAAGGAGTGTGTGCACCTGCCTGGGTGAGGTGGTACCTATGCATGAGCACCTCTGCATGTCTGTGCTTGCACACAGGCTGGTAGGCTTGTGTCTACCTGCTTATCTACATTGGATATGATTCCGTGAATCTAACTGCACATGGGACTGTGTACGTGTCTGTATAGATATTTTAGCAACTGTTGAATAACTGCACACTACTTCCTGGACTGTGATTGCTGCTTGGCTGTGAGGGCCATCCGGACCATCTCCAGGCTCTCCCCATCACTTCTAACCAGAATTACCCTGGGAGAAACAGATGTAGAAAAAAAATCAACTACCCTGCACCAGGTGCAGGTTGTCCACATGTTTGTAACATGGGTTTTTTCAGTCTCTAATCCCTTGATCAGAGAGGAAACTTTCTATTGTAAATACACTAAATGTCTGAATTAAAGTGAATATTTTTACCTCTGTTCTGGTTTTGCTCATATCAGCTTCTTTTCTGTGACTGTGGCTGGGGGGAGACAAAGGGGAATAACTTACAGAAGCATCAAGAGTAGATGGTTTGGTGGTCTTGTATATTTAAAAAAAAACAAACCCAAGTTTTATGTATTTTGGTATGTAAAACTTAGCTGACCTCACATCACAAGAAGCTAGCTGAGGGCAGGAAGTAGGCAGGGTTTAAATGAAATCCAGTTGCAGGTCTTCTCAGATATTCAAGAATTTGAATGCCAGCACATTTAGAGTGACTTTTTAAGCAATTTACAATGAGTCATTTGGATTTGTATCTGGCTTTTTAAACCGGAAAAGATCTTGAAATAAAAGAATAATAATAGGTTATACTTTAATCTTAATCTTACGTGTTTTTGTCTGAGGAACCAGAGCACTATGTTAAATAAGGAAGGACTATTCCTATTCTACTTGAAAGTTTCCTGCTTGAAACATGGAAGCTCCTGACCATCAGTGACAAAGCCAGGAACTGACATCAGTTTTAATTCCCAGTTTGAGGCTCTGTTTTGCTATGCCTACATCTTATTTTAATTGAGGATGATATTGTTGTTGCTTCGTTTTTTTTTTTTTTTTTTAATCAGAGGCAGTACAAAGCTCACTGTAATACACTTTTTCTTTCATAATTTATTTTCACCAAACACAACAGTATCATAATTGTTAGAAGTACATGCTGTATATTCAAAGTGCTTGAAGTGGGGAAATTCTCGGAAATCTTTTCCAGGTGTGATGTCTAAGCCTTGGAGTTTTTTCCCCATCTCAAACTGTTCAATACATCATTTAAAATCCATGTGTTGCAAAGCTTGTGGCACAAGATAAGCCACAAGCAGCAGGCCCCAGGCCACTGCTGGGTTGCCAGTGGCTTTGTTAGTGTTTGGGAGCACACGTAATCACAGACAGATGATATGCAGGTGCTTTATTGAGGCACACGGGAACTAGGGGTATTAGCAACCCAAATCTAGCTCCGTGGTTTTGTTGAAAGTGCACGTATTTATACAATCTCAGCTGTAGCACTAATCACTATAACAGCCTTATTGATATTGCTTCATTAGAGCTTAGCCTGAGCTTGTATGAACATGTACGAATCTTACGTATAGGTATCTTAGAAACTTTAAATACTGATCCCCGTTACTGTAAACATTCTAGCTTGCTAAACTATCCCAAAGACCAAGCATTCTTTTGGCCTAGTTATACGTGATTTTCAGAAACATTTAACCCTGTACTAACAGCTTCATGCAGGAATTTTACAGAAATCCATGGCTATGAGGTGTTTCAGAGAATGCTGAAGATTCCTTCAAGGTAACAAAGGTGACTTGGGTGGGTAATATATGTGAAAATGGGACTGGAGGCTCCTCATGCTGCTGCATGGACAGAGCAGCCCCCAGAGAAACACAACTGTTAATATAATTTCATTTATTTGTCGCCATCACTCATTGAGCATCTAACGCTGAAGCAGTGATACCTGTATATAGAACATTTACATTTTAACTGTATGGGGTCCAGCTCTGGTCCCGCAGCATGAGGAAGACATTGAACAGTTGGAGCAAGTCCAGAGGAGGCCAAGATGTTGATGAGAGAACTGGGGCACCTCCCGTACGAGGACAGGCTGAGGAAATCGGCTCTGTTCATCCTGGAGAAGCTCCTGTGGAGACCTCCCAGCAAGCTTCCAGTATCTGAAGGGGGCTACTGGGAAGCTGGAGAGGGACTCTTCGTCACTGTTGTGATAGGGCAAGAAGTAAACTGAAAGAGGGGAAATTTAGGCTGGATGTTAGGGAGGAATTCTTTACCGTGAGGGTGGTGAGGCACTGGCGGCTGTGGGGGTAACCATGGCCACGTTCAAGGCCGGGCTGGACGGGGCTTTGAGCAACCCGCTCCAGTGGGAGGTATCCCTGCCCTTGGCAGCGAGGCTGGGACTACATAATCGTTAAAGTCCCCTCTAACCCATGACATTCCGGGATCCTATGGAGCCGCGCTGGTCACTTCTCTGCCTCAGCAGTGGCACCTCGCTCGCCGCGGCGGCGGGCGCTGCTCCGAGCGCCCGGCTGTCCCCCCCGCGGCCGCCGCGCCTTGGTACGGCCCGCGGGGCCGCGGTGCGCGCCGGGAGCGGGCCCGGCCGGCGCGCGGGGGGTGTGGCCGTGATCCCGCGCCGCGCTCCCGCCGGTCCCGGCACATCCCGGCCCGACATGGCCCTCAACAAGTCCATGCACGCCCGCAACCGCTACAAGGACAAACCCCCCGACTTCGCCTACCTGGCTGGCAAGTACCCCGAGTTCCAGCAGCACGTGCAGACCACCCTGGCGGGCAGGGTGAGGTACGGCCGGGCGGGATGGGGCGGGTGGGTGTCCCCGGTGTGTCCCCCTGGTGTGTCCGCCCCCGGTGTGTCCGCCCCCGGGCACCCCTGAGAGCTCCGCGTGTGCCTTTCAGCCTGAACTTCAAGGATCCCGAGGCCGTGAGGGCTCTGACATGCACCCTGCTGAAGGAGGATTTCGGGCTGACCATCGATATCCCCGTGGAAAGGCTCATTCCCACCGTCCCCTTGAGGCTGAACTACATCCACTGGGTGGAGGATCTCATCGGCCACCGGGATGCTAACAAGCAAACCCTGAGACGAGGCATTGACATAGGTAAAGCTAAATGTTTAAATCCTTATTCACCATCAGCGACAGTAGCAGGTACAATTTGTTGCAGGGGAAAACGTCAGGTTTGAGGAACAAAGAGATCTGAGGTGTGCTGGCTGTGGTGGGAGCAGTCTGAGCTCCACAGGTGTTTCATGTGCCTGCTGGGTGGGCAGCCTTGCTCTGCACAAACACAGGAGCATCGTGGCAGGCAATTATGTGGCTCTTTAGGGCCTCGAACTCACTTGAGTGCAGCTTTGTGTGCTGTGCTTCTAGAAATGCAGGCAAAAATTTTATTCTAAAGGATCTATAAAGTGTTTCTCCTCAGTGTTCTAACTAGCCAATTGTGTCTTGCTGCTAATTTATTAATTTTTTTTTTTTGGATGTCTGTACCAGAGAGTTTGTGAGTTGCATAGCAATATTTTTTAGTGCTCCACTTAGTGACATGTGACAAGTGAATATTAAATGTCTCTACAAAGATATTTACTGTATGTATTTTGATGTATTGATTACTAGTGCTGCATTAACATTTTAATAATATGATAAATGTAATCTTGTAGTTAAAAGGTAACTTTTGTAGTTAAAATAAGAACTGTGTAAGTGGGATTTTTTTTAAGAAAAGAATGAGGCACTCGCAGCGAGATAGCAGCCATAGGACACCTAAATCTTTCAGAGAAAAAGAATTTATTGCCTTCTTATCAGAAGAAATGAACATCTTCCTGCCTCGAAGGCGCTGTTAGGATTCAGAGGAAGAAGCTGAGGATGACCAGACAGAATCCTGTGTCTGAATGTAATTTATGCATCATGTATGAGGTGTATGAATATGCAACAGGCTATTGTTTTTAAGGGTTAATCCTCTGTTAACGGGTGTCCTTTTTCGGGCTTATGCTGCCCAGAAAAAGGTACCCAGACATCCGTAACTCTTTGTCTCTATTGTCTCATATTGTCCTAATTCAAGTTGTCCAAATTATTATTACTCAAATTGTATTACTATTTTATAACCATTTTATTACTATTAAACTTTTAAAATTTTAAAAACAAGTGATTGGTGTTTTTCACATGACATTTTTTCCTGTTGTTATAGGTGTATTTGATAAGTGATTGATATGTCCTTTTAAAGTTTTTATTTTAATTTATTTCAATGCAGTTATATATGTGAGCTGAATTGTAAAAGAGGCCAAATTAGAAACTAGGGCAAATGCCAGCTAAGCTGTGTTTTGGTTGTAGATGGTCAAAGATTTCTTGTTTATTGTTGAGAACAAAATGTCTTTTAAGTTGG